CATCAGGCATCCCAGCCAGGGTCGATCAGTGCTTGTGTACTTAATGGATTTCTCCCCTTGATTCATTGCCATCTTGACACAAGCCAGGTAGGATTTACAAAATAAAAGGATAACTGAGCTGCTGAGAGGTATCGAGTGGTGATGAGCAGGTTTCAGCCGACAGCTGCCAAGTTGCTGGCATCGCATCATGCAGCATGTGTTGGCTGCGAGTTTTGGCAACATGCTCGTTTATTTTTCCTCCAAGGCTGTTAAGAAGACAGTGTGTGTGATGGGTGTGTGTATTAAGGTTACAGCCATGTTATAGGTTTTCTGATGCCAATATTAGCCTTGCAGTTAAACCCAGATGTTGGCCAGATAGTGGAGTCTGCTGCCAATATGACAGGGAGAGGGGTGTGATTTTACTCAACCATATTGTAAAGCTGCAGGGATTCCTTCTTTAAGGATCTGTTTACCTGGCTGAACTCATATATTTGTTTGAATAGTGAGTTTTCTAAGACACCAAGGTTACATTTTACTATTTTACTGCATTTCTGTAGACATTATATAAACTAGGACTGCAACTATCTTTTAATTTTATTATTGGTCATTGATTATTTTCTACATTCATTTCTACATTTTTAACTATAAAATGTATAAATATGCAAAGTATAAATTAAAAAAGCCAAAAATATTTTTTACCATGTTGGACAGAGAAAGGCTGAAACTGAAACAGGTCTAGAATATTAGTTTGAAAAAATTAAATTAAATTAACCGCTTATCAAAGTGCTAGAATTGCTAATTAAATGTCTATTGATTCATTTAATCGGTTAATTTCAATAACCTCGGTTTTAGGTTCACATGAGGGTCTAATTTTTTTATTTCTTTTCACCCCAAAGGGAATAAAATCTGAAGAGGTACCATACTTTATTATCTATATATAATTTATCTATTGCATAAAAATGAAAAAATCAGTAGTTGAAGTTCAAAGCATTTCCTTTTCAACCATATAAAAATCTATATGAAGCTAAATATGTATGTACTGTCAGCATATGACTTGTGAGCAGTCAGTTGAGTTCATATAAATTAACATTCACTGCCACCTGCAACCAGTCATCCTCTCATCCACTTCCTCTGGTGTCTCTGTGTAGCTGCATCCAAACCGTTAGCAGTCAGACTAAGGAAATTGGTTGCTAGCCCAAGGAGATATTGGGCCTTACAAGGTCAGCTAGAGATCCTCTGCAAGATTTTTTTCTTTATGGAGAGCTGACAGGAGAGAGCAGAGGAGATGCTCGCCCTGCAGGGGCTCCAAGATGAGCTGGTCCTGCCTCGCTCCTCAGTGACTAATGCATGATAAAACATGGAAAAAACAAAAATCTACTGAATTGAAAACTTGCCTGACTGGGAGATATTTGACTCACCAGAATGATTAAACTGAATATTTACTGAAAGTTCAGAACCACCCAACCAAGGACTTTGAAGTTTTCAGTTGTTCAGAGTGTAGTAGGCGCAGATTGTGGTGACACAGTGTCGTCAGTTTAATACTGCCAGTATGTTAAAGTCCCCCTCCACTCAAAAACATGTTTTTCTTCTTGTTCCTACAGTTGGATGTTTGAGCTTTGCGATGCAGAATAATGAATGTGTAGAGTTTGACACTAAAAGGATGTTTTCATTCATCTACTGAAAGTGGAACGTTTCTCTGTGCTCATTGAAAATCATAATTTTTAAGTTGAGAAACTTGAAGCCACCGGTGCACATACACTGAGAATGGACTTTACAGTGAAGTAGGAGACATCTTGTGTTCAGCAAGGAAAAAAAGGAGTTTTAATGACATCAAACAGGTAGATGCCATTTTAAAGTAAGATCTTTAAACATCACACCAAGTGGCAAATGTTTTCAATCAAGAGGAAAACCTCAAACTGTCATCATGATTCTCTGGGGGAGTTTATGTGTAGCACTGTACCCTTTGTATTCTCACTGGTCACCATAGTGTCACCCCGGATTTTCAGATCCGTTGTTGGCCATGATTTGCTTGACCGAGACAAATCTCTTTGATTTAAAACAAAAAACCCTTGAGTCTGCACGGAATCTGCACTCATCACAACAGGTCCTCTAGTTCAAGCAGTTCCAAGACTGGTCTTCACCTCAGCATGAGCTGTCCCAGATGCTCCTCAGTTTTTAAACATGTTTGATTCTCTCGTAGCCAAAATCAGCATGCGCTTGTAGCTGGAGCAGCTTGGAGATGAGTCTGAGATGGAAGCACAACTGGGAACCAAATCAGGGCAGGGAGGGTGGCAGAGGACACATACACACACTCAGAGGACCAGATAATTAAAATAGTGCAGCACGCAGCCACTAATTACATTTTTAATGCAATAGGAGTCAATAAACAAGTGTCATTGTATTTCTGTAATTTCTTCAAAGAATCTGTTTTTAATTCATTTATTATTAGTTTAATAATAGTTTATTTTTTGCTTTCTGGTCTTCAGTGAGATTTCTGTAGATTAAAGGTTAATTTGTGATTTATTTTCTCCACCGCAACCTCCCTTGTGGCTTCTGTAAGTCCCATCTGTTCTATTTGTATGCCTGCTCTTTTGTTTGGTACAAATAACCGCCTGTGTCTGTGGCAGAATGCATCCAAAAAAACTGAAAATCTACCCAACAGTTTATTGAATATCGCAATCATTTTATCCAATGAGGGATTTATCCAAGTGGAATAATCTTGTAATCAATACACCTGAGATCAGTTGTGTGGCATGGCAACAATACTACTATTCTAAGACTCTAAGAAATTGTGTATTTAAGTGCTCAAAATTGTTGATGCAGATATTTCAAAGTGTAGTTCACAGTCTATGTTTTACCTGAATGATTAACAGACACATTAAAGGAAATTAGTTCTTGCTGTAACAGTAACCAAGATTCAACAGAAGGAAATGATCACATGCAGTACAATCAAACTGTTGCTTTGTTATTTCATCTTTCAAACGGGTGTGTAGTGCAAATACAAAAACATACATATGTGGTTTGATTCAGTGCTCATTGAGTGTTGTTCTTTAATGCCACTTGTGCATCTGCTCCAGCAACCTGCTATAAATGGTGAAATTGTGCAAAAGTAGGCTCTTCTCTGATCTTTGTCTTCTGAAGCATGAACTGAGGGCTGAGAGACTGACACAGCAGCAGCAAGAACCAATCGGCTACCTCCGCTGTCCTAGCTGTCCAATCGAAAACTCCCCCACCCAGCCTTTCACAACCATGTTGTGCACAGTGTATTAGATATATGTGTATTTTCATACTGCATGTGTGAAATACATTTTAATTGGTATAATCTCAACTTTATATTCAGTGAATCACTCATAGTTGATAAACTCAGACCTCGTTTATACAGGTCTTCTCATTAATGCACCTATTAAACATATGTTGTCAAGCTGTCATGTGAAATGCAGTAGCGTATATATGCTTTTTGTAATTCATGGTGCATCTAGTTTATCTCATTTATGTGTACAGCGCATTAAACTTATTTATGCATACAAATTATGTTGGGCCAATAACAAGATATGAGTCTGATCCTGACTGCATTTCAAGCAACCCAAAATGGGGTCCAGACCCCAAAGCTCCTCATCTGTGTAGAAATGGTGAAAATCAGCAGTTCTTATATGTTTTCTGGGTAACTGGTGATTGTTTCCACTGTATTGGTACCTGTATTGTCCACACTCATATGGAGTACTAACACAATCCTCTCATCTGATACTTTAAACCGCCTTTAAAACATTTATTATTAAGATGAAGGTGACACATGCATGAAATAAGGACATTTAAGGGGAAAAACAATAAAGATTAATATTGACCATACAGATGTGACAGCGGTATCAAACTGATACTGAATATGCATTTTCCCCAAAATGTCTAAGTATTCCTGTAAAGGTTTAACTCCTGACTGAACTTGAAGGATCTGCGTTAAAGGTCCAGTGAGGAATATAATGTTTATGTATGTTTCCATCAGTGTTTAATCACCTGAAGATAAGAATTGTTGTGTTTTGGTTACTTTAGGATGAGGCATTTTTATTTACATAGGGAACGGGTCCTCTTCTACAGGGTCCACACTGTTAAACCATGTTTCTACAGTAGCCCAGAAGGAACAAACCAAGCACTGAATCTAGACTGGGACTTTGGTGAGTGAGTTTTCCAGCCACTGAAGTTTCTCCTATACGCTTGGACGGTGTAATATAATGAAAGTTGAACCTTTACCAGCTACTATTCACTATCCTGTGTTCCCCCAACCTGTGTAAAAGAAGAAAAACACATAAAATGCAGGTAAATTGAGCATCATCCATCTCAGCACTTGCAATCCTTTCTGACCTCCACCAGGTGGAGACAGTGCACAGCATTTAGATGCTGACAGTTGAGCAAGGACATTATGTAACTTCAGACCCCCCCACCACCACCACCATCAACTGCTCTGCACAGTCACTCTCTGACCCCTTCATGGACAGTCACGTCCTCCCAGAACTCTGAGGGGGTTTGGATCTGTCAGGGCGAGACAGCAAAGACTCTAAAGCCTGTCACCAAAAAATACACAGGATGCATGTTTCTGCTTGAGATGCTCGTCACACCTTAATCTCAGAAGAGTTGCTGCCCACACCCGGCCTGACCAACCATTAGTCAGGCAAAGTCTGTACTGATTTCCCAGTGGGAGTGCATGTCTTTCCTGCATATTGTTTGTTATTACAAAGCTCATTTTTGCAGAATATGCTACTAATTTCATTTCATTTCACATCATGACAAAGTGTATTCATAATAAAATTAAAGGATTGTGATAAAAAGATATAAAAAGATACCATAAAGGTCACCATAAACTCACCTTTGACCTTCACTGACTTTGAGAATATCACTTTAACAAGATTTTTTTGGTTACTTCTCTTTAAATGTGTGTGTTTGAGCTCTTCTTCTCAGTTATATTTGTGGTTTGATACCATATGAGGACCACACCTTTCCCTCATCCGCTTGCAATATATAGCCTATCCTACCTGGAGGATTGCTATGGCAACAGGTTGCCAGTAGCGACGGGGTACCACTACATCTCTGCGTGTGTCTGCGGGGATGAGCGGCGCGTCAGGACGAGGAGGAAGGAGAGAAAAAATACGCACAACGGAGCAGCAGAGAGGGTGAGGTCTGCCCGGCTCAGTCAGCAAACAGAAAAATAACCACTGCGAGCTTTTTCTGTCATGAAGTGAGGAGCCCTGCGGTCCGCACCGACGCTCCTTGTTGCTGTTTCGGTTAAAAAAAAAAAAAAAAAAAGAGTGAAAACAGAAACGTCTGCCGGAATGGAGAGCCACCGCTGACGGAGATTCCCGAGCTCCTCTGATAACAACAGGTTAGTGTTTACAGACTCGGTCACTCTCACCTGCGGCTGCTGCTGTCACCACCACATTCACCTTCACCTTTCATTTATGTCATTTTATTTATTTATTTATTTATTTATTTACAAATGTGTTGGTGTCGGGCTGTGGAGGTGTGCAAGGTGCCCGAAGACGCACCGGAGAGGAGAAAGATTTTGATGCATCCACGTGTGCGGTGAGGAGTCCAGCTGTGGCTCATACACCGGCGCAATGTGCAGCAGCCGCAGGTGCAGACAGAATGCATGCGGGGGTATTAGCATTATTAATATTTTGCGTTCATTTAAATGGCGGCTCCTTATTTCGCACTGACTTGTTGTTGAGCATTCCTGCGTTGAGGCTGCGGGTGTGTCTACCTTTGATCACAATTGGATTACATGCATTTGGAGGGATCAGGCAAAATAGATTAGACTGTATCAGTGTAAGGATTCGTACTCTTACATGCATTATTTTGCATTCATACATTTATTAGATGCATATTTTTGCATATACTTATCTAGAATGGCGTCATATTTGTAGCTCAAGTAGTAATTTAGTCATGTTTACCCCCCTTTTCCTTTTTTCCCCCTCACATTTCTTTAGATAATAAAAGGCTATGTAACTTATATAAAACAATAGAAAATAAGAGTTACATTTAAGGAATATTAGACTATAATCTTTTTTGATATAGTTATTTATATATATATATATATTTTTACAATTTTCTAATTATTGCTCAGTTTCACTCAGTGTTGTATTGAAATGTGTGCATGTGTCGGCTTATAAGGATTCAAAGGTTAATTTGTCACTTACACAAGCAATATGTGTATTGAAATGCAATGTGGCTAAATAACAGAATTTAAAAATACTAACAAATATTTATACCATTCATTTTATAGTTAAATGTGTTGTATTATATTGTATAGAGCGAGTGCAACAACTCCTTAGTGGCCATTCATAATGTAATAATACAGGACATTTTATATTGGGAAATGATTGACTACATGCTAAAAAATAAAGTCCAACAATTCCCTTAAACCATTTAATTTCACCTCCACTGATGCACTGTGAATTCTCCATTAGTCATAGACACACACACACACACACACACACACACACACACACATACACTCAGCCGTGCAAGTTATCAACTTTTCAACATAATTGGTTTCATTTCTAAATTTGGCTCCATGTCATTGCCACACTTACCTTGTCAATATTACTCTCAGTGCCTGACATTGTTTCATCTCCTCATCACAGCAGCCGTGACTGATCCTGTACAATCGGACCAAAATAACTTGTGCACTTAATAATGCTGGTCAGTTTCTAAAATCAGACAAAATCTGTATCTGTAATTCTGTCATCTGGAGGCTATTTCAGAGCTACAGAGGTCATTATTTTTTCCTGAAGTGGAGCGGCTGATGAACAAAGTCTACAGACAGATAATGTGACCTTGTTCAAGCAGCGGAGATCTCATTTTGAAATGGGAAGTGTATCTCTCTCTAAAGTTGTCATGGGAAGCTTAAATGTTTAGCGTATCTCTGTGTAAGACTGTCAAGAAAAGCTTCAAACTCTGAGCTCTTAGTCATAGAGCTGCTGCTGATGTGAATGTTGGGAGTCTTTGAAGTGCATTACGTAACCTGCCAACAAATAGCAGAGTGGCCCAAAGTGCTAATACCCGGTAACCTCACCGTGTCCTTGGAGGACAAGCAGACAAGATTATGATTTGACAGTAAACGCTTATGGAAAACCAGCAGACAAAGGAAAACACCTCATTCCTTATCATTTTTTTTAACAGCCAGGGCAATGAATCACTGCTGTGAAATATAATTTTTGAGTTTTAAGTGTGATGGATTACAGGCTGCTGATCAGCGAGGCAGGGCTGAAGGCTGAAGGCTGCTCCCTCTCTGTCTCTCTGGCTTTCCACTGAGATCTTTTTTTTTTTTTTTTTAAGGCAGAAGGAGACAGCCCGTCTTGTCACTTCAAGCAGTCTCATAACATCCAGGACCCCTCCCAAGTGATTGTCAGTCTCTGTGACGGCTCTTCGCGCTTACAGAAGCGTAACCAAAGGACACAACCTGCAAAAGATAGGACTCTGGGTTATGCAAACATTCTCAGAGGCAATTGTTAATCTGGTAGTTATGTAATTGATCTTAAAATGATAAGTGGAGCCAATTAAGCAAAGTTTTTCAGCTTAAAAGAAAAGCCACGGTCACAATACACAACCTGGCTCTTATTTTCTTCATTTTTATCTGTATTTCCTTTTACTTGGCAACAAAAGTCATGAGATATGGTGACACAACAGACAAGCAACACAGGAAATCCGTCAATCAGAGAGTTGTGAATTTGTGTATGTGCATTCACATTTTGTCAGTACAGTGGGCAATTGTAAATTATATTTTGGGGGCGTTAACCTCAACGTCATATCAAGACAATTTGAATAACTGGTTCTCAAAAATTAAATCTGATTGGTTGTGACAAGATTAATAGGACAGGAATGTAGAACATATTGTATTGTGTATTTTTTCTTGTTGTTTTGTTGAATTATTTACAGTGTTTCAGGCCTTTTAAAATCATTCAGATGTAGCAAGGGGTTGGTTGAGCTGGCCACTATTAGTTGTAGACAGGCAGTAGTAGATGTTTGTTTTAAGAGATCACAGGTCAAAAAGTTTGGGAAAACTTGGGGTTGGATAATTGCATCTGACAGCTCGTGTTGCTTGCTCTGACAGATTTTGTTGGTGAACAAATAGATTTTATGTCCAAAGCTATAGAAACAATATGTGAATAAAAATTCCCTTTAAGCATGAGAAACAATATGTCTGAGCCATCTCACATCATCTAAGGCTTGTTTGTGGTGTTCCTGCACTGTAAAAGAAAAATATATAAAACTGGTTTGCAGAATCACTCAGTGAGAAACAATAAACAACCAACAGTCCTGCTGGCTGTTTATGGATTAATAAATGTATCTCCAACTCTTTTTATAGAACAGACAAGTCGATGGTCTTCTCCAAATTCAATGTGTCGTGCCTCTTTTTGCCAGAACAAATGATCCACACAGAAAGCTGCAAGCTGCTCCTCCTGTTTTAGCACATTATGTTGAAAAATGTCATGTTACTGGTTTGTTTTCTGGAAAAATTTGTGTCCAGTGCTAATGAGTAGGCAACCACAGCTGACTGACTAACCTGACCTAACCACCTGTAGAGTCAATGCTGTGGGAGTATTCATTGTTCACTCACTCCATAGGTCGGAGCTTAGATATGAAAATACTGTATGAGTTAATTCTGTGTAATCATAACTTAATCTAATTAAATTAACCTTAACCACCTTTAAAATATTAGAAGTATGCATTGAATAAGCCAGGAACTGAACTCAACTTGTTGCATTAAAGGTGAATTTTTTGTCTCATTGTGACCAGTGGTAAACTACTAGTACAAGGCTATTTCAGGCCGGAATTACCTGCCAGGGAGCCAGAGGGCAAAAATGAGCTGCTGCCCCCCTTTTAATCCCCATTTTCCCGACTAGCTGGTGTCACGAATCCCATGAAAAGGCCCAGTAATAGCCAATATAACAGCTGAGCCCTGTAGTTTCTAGCAAATGTAATTCAAACATGAGGAAATAGTGCATTTGTTTGGGACTACTTTCAGCTGTGGATTAATACTAGTGAATATTTGCAGCAGTGGTGTATGTGGACTCAGAATACACTACAGTCTGTGTGTGTTTGTGGTAATAAAGGAACATGTCACTCAAGTACAACGGTGCGGCTCACTGATGTGTTTTCAATATGTTTTGGACAATTGAGCTCTATAGCACAGAGGAATAAGATACGTCAGGCTTTGGATACACAGACAACACTTGTGGGTGGCAGAAATTCATTGACGGTTTTGTTCTTTTAATGGGAAGGCTTGACAATAAGACAAATATAGAATACCGCCAGACTCATCAGTTAAACACAAATGCTTTTAGTGATGTAGGAATCTGCACCACGTACGAGCACAAACTAGATTTTTGACCCAGGGTCCGCTACAAGGGCAGAGCTTCATGATTAGATAATAAAGCAGGAACCATGTTACCGCACTTATGACATATTGAACATAAGTGGTGTGTATTCCTGGGCTAATTTTCAGTTGCATTAGCACAAATCAGTTGACATGTTTGTGTGTATGTAACCTTGTCTGAGAGGAGAACTTCATTTCTTCTCATGTATGACAATGTTTCTAACTAAATGGTTCCTCTGAATATAATTTGCGGATGCAGATTGGTTGCATATGGATATAATTCGAGACAGGGTTGGACATTTCCGAATAGTGGATGTGGACTGTGGTTTAATGAAGCCAGTGACACACCAACTTTCAGAGCAGTGTTTCCTGCAATAAATGTTGTATAACTAACACTCCAAAGTGCCAATTCAAACCCCCTGAGCTGCAGCAAACTCAAGGCCAAAGGAGTCCCCTGAGCCTTCTTTACTCACAGAACGGGCTTTTCGCCTAGAGCTCCAGAAATAAACTCATCTGAGAGCCACTTTGTTCTGGCCTGAGACACATTTTTCTTTGTTTCTCTCATCTCTTTAAAGTCTTGAGATTTGAGACATTTTTTTCTGTTTCTGCGATTACATTAAATTGATATATTGGTTTGCTGTTTCATCTGTCAAACCACAGAGGACACGATCTCTAGTATAATCCGTCTGTTTGGATTCTCTCACAGGTCTTATCCGCTGAGCCCATCTTCCCCTCCAAAATCTTTAAGCAACCGACAAAGAGCTGGAGCCGAGACGATCAAGCATGGATGTGCCCAGGATGGCTGAGGGCCTTTTCAGCAGCACGCTGTCCTCGTCGGGCGGCGGCCATCACGTGCCTTCCTACCTGACGCTGGAGCAGAAGGCGGCCTTCGTCTTCGTGCTGCTGCTCTTCATCTTCTTGGCCCTGCTCATCGTGCGCTGTTTCCGCATCCTGCTGGACCCCTACCGCAGCATGCCCTCGTCCAACTGGACTGACCACACCGAGAAGGACACGTTCGATTACCGCATCGTCTGAGGGGCCCTGCGGGTGCACAAGTTAGAGCAGAAAGGAATAAAATAAAAGACTGATTTGATGCTAAAAAAGCACTTTGGCCCTACGAACAAATGACTGCTGATTCACCAGGAAAACAACAACTTTCGGAAGATCTTCTGAAAGTTTGGACTGAAAAGAATTTCCATTGGCGGTTTGTCGTCAAAATGAGACCTAACCAACAGCTTCTCCCTGCCAAATCAGAAAATTCTCAACTATAACAAGACAACCAGAACTATCTATGCTATGAAGATTATTGATCAAACCGAAAACTATCATGACCCTCAGTCCAAGTGATGCACCAGAGACACTTACTGTTACCCATAATTCCCTTTCCCTGCCATCAGTTCTCTTGTGGACTACCTCGTTCCTCCTCCATCTCATGTGCGAAAGACTTAGTATTTTCTCACATCTCACACAGGGTCGAATATCTTTTGAGGTCCAAGCCAATTGGATAATAACAGTGTTTACATCTTATCATGTTTACGTCCTTAGATTTTTATTGATAATGTAGACAATCAGTGTTTAAAACTGTTGGTGAAAAAAGAATTTGCAGAGTAAATAGTTGAGGTCTTGTTTTTATTGTATTTTTTTCTTAATTTGTGGACAGACACGAGCGGTCCAAAAGAATTTGTATGACTGATTCAGGCGAAGAGGAATTTAATGCCTTACTGTATGTCTTTGTGAGATATTCTGTGGTGGTCATTTCCTTCTTGACAGTTAAGTAAGGCTGGTTTCAAGGTTATAAAGCAGGTTACATAAACACAAAGCAAGAAACTGTAGTGGAAAAGTGTTCCCTTTAATGTTAAGGTTTGGACAGATAGATGCCAGCAGTGAGTAACTGTAACTGTTCTGTGTGTGCCATAAAAAAATTGTCCTTTCAGACTTGGAAGGGATCTGCGGTGTCCACGTCTTTAGATGTCAACAACCAAAAGAGGTATTGAAGAAAAAAAAGTTTACTGTGCTGTACCTTGTGCCTAATTTGAAGTTTAGATTGATGTTTTAGGAATATGAAAGAAAATGGGTTCATATTTTTGTCTTCAAATGTAGGTTGTTGTTTTATTTTTGTGTGGTGCCCATTCAAAGAAACTTAAACAGCATTTTACTGCCTGCAGTTGGTATATTGACAGTTGGTATGCCAGATCTGCAGAGTGTTGATGATGAAGATGGCGATGCATTTTCACATCAAACCCTTTACAAACCGATGTTGTGGCTCTTTCGTTGGGCAATTTTTCAACTGTGCGCCTTATAGTGTAGATTGTTTACAGTATCGTAGGTAGCGGAGACACTGGAAATCAGCCAGTCACTGATGCGACTGTGTCTTTGCACTTCACGGAGATGTCATACAACCCCGCTAAAAAGAAGAAAAAAAACACCTTCCCTGCTCTTGTTTCTGCCGGGGCAGGAAGTGAACTCTGACCCTTTCGGCGACGTGTGTTGTTCTTGTGATCTGCCGTGGCCTTTTCCTACCTATCGCAGATGTTGCGATGTTGTGCTGAGGTGATGTGGTTTTTTCCCCCCCCCTGCATGTATTTCTCGCAGAGTATCCTCTCCGTGCATGATAAATGGTGAAGTGCTTTAATCCTGATGTTGTAGCTGTGGGTCAGTTGCTCAAGCAGCTCTTTCCTGTCTGTACTGGAGCCTTTTGTTTCGATCTGTTTCTCGCCCGGAGCCGCCGTTCGTTTTGTAATAAAAATGATCAGAGTGCAAAACTGCCTTTTAATGTGTTTTATTTCATTAGATTCATTCACCAGGCGGTAAAAGTGGCAGGTGTTAAGGACAAACAAAAAATGGATGAGAAAAAAGCGTTCTTCCAAGCCTCCCTGCCCTTTTCAAGGAGGCCATATGTGCCGGAGGCCCAATACATTCTTTTTCCCGTTTTATCAGCGGCTGGCAGTGGTAGCCGGCAGGTGTCTCGATTGGTTTTCTGTGAACCCAGACACTTTGTCTGGCTACACACACACACACACACACACACACACACACACACACACACACACACACTAGTCTCCAGGCTCCAGGCCCAGACTGCTCTTTGAGCCGAGACCCTCCAGAACGCCATGCAGAATAACAATCTGACACCAACACTGAATATGTTGATATGCAATCATCTGCTGCACACCTCCCTCTAACACCTGCATCCTTTCTCACATAGAAGCAAGACGTGGATAGATTGACCTATGTATTTTGTTTGCGAGTGAATACGTGCATCTGTTGTGTGTTACTTAATAATTCTGCTGATATCACACATCCACAGGTTTTTTGTTTTCTTTTAGGAAGGGCTGGGAGCTGGAACGGATCAGAATTTTAAATGTGAGCTGATCCCACAGAGGAGAAATGTGCAGTCTGCGCTTTTTGGATTATTATGTAAGAGACAACCTACGTCTTTACTGAAGCCTTTTCACTGTTTGCTCATTTTTAAAAGTCAAAATACTGGAGTGGATGCCTTCCTCAGCTGATAACGGCTGTAATATGAAGGCAGAACTAAACATGCATCATTTGTTGATACAGAAACCTGCTCACGCACAATGCATGCTGGCAGCAGGAGGAAGCCAGTTTGTTACACAAGCAATTATAGATGGGGAAAACAATCTTCTGGGATGTAGAAAACACATCTGGGGTGTGATTAGATATCCATCACTTGAAATGAATGACACCTGCACTCAATAATGATTCTGACACAAAAGAAAAACATCTAAAAGTTATCTGTCTTCCTAAAACCTTTGCTTCTCCAAAAATACTTTTGTTTTTCTCCAAGTATCACCCACAGGCTTCGAGATTCTGATCATTCTGAGCGATAACCAAAATAGAAACAAATCATTTTGGAATGAAAGCCTTCATTTTCTGTTTCTGAAATCTCATTAGTTCACGCCAAACAAAGATTATAATCCAATCTAAACACGCCCATACACAGCAAGTAGGAGCAGCAGCGGGGAACATTAACCATTATGGATCAATATCACAGTCATGCTTTATGCAACATGACTCATATTAAAGAAAGCCACTGATAATTGAATTATTTTCATTCTCTGCTGTGCACGCTCAGAGGCTGTATGCTGAATTTATTCCCTTTCCAAACGGCCCATTTCACTATTCAGTCTCCAGTTAATTTAATGGTCTCTGAACAGGTTGGAAGGCACTGTTCCCTTGTGATTGTGAATAGCTGTGCAAGAGGATAACAGAGGAACGACTGATATTGTATAATTGATTTTGCAGCAATCCCTCTTATTCCTGTGACCCGGTGACGTTTACAATACTGTGAGGCTTCAGGGAACATTGGCACCAAAGAAAAGATGATCACCAGCATCATTCAAAAATACTTCTGGTCTGCAGCTTTTAGAGAAATCTTGGATTGCTTTGCGTCTGTGTGTTCAAAGATAAAATGCACTGTTCATTATGAAAGCTTAAGTGCTTGAACAAAAAGTTGACAGAAGATTAATCAACAATTTGGATCATTTGTGAAGAAAAAAAAGCGAAATATTTGCTGGTTCCTGCTTTTTAAATGTGAGGATCTGCTGCTTTCCTCTGACTGTATATCATTGCAAATTAAATAATTATGGGTTGTAGATGGCTGGTCGGGTAAAAAGAGAGGATATGAAGCTATCCCCCTTGGAAAAAGGGTAAAAATAGAAAAATAAGGACTAAATCTATAAAGTTGGTTTCCATAGTAGGAATCAGTGACACCTGCTGACCAGTGTTTCCATGGTAACAATCGGAAGCACCTGCAGTGGCACCATATGACAAAAAAAAAAAAAGTCTATTTGTGGTTTGGCAACAATGTTGTGAAGCGAGTGATGAGGAGGAAATGAGAGTTTTTCCTGAGCCTGACTGATGAGTTAGCGCTGAGCCCCCGCCACATTAAGAGACCACAGCGTCCCGGCTCTGCCATACACGTCCGAGCTGCATTGATTTTACGCTACTGGATGAATTTCCACAGCAAAATATTTGTGTGATTCTTATAAAAACCCTTCTCGTCGTGAGTTGCAATGCATTTAGCCACTTGTTAGCGACCGCCTTTTTTAATACACATAAAAGCTTTGAAATTCACAGGTGGGTTATTTAGTTTATTATTATAAGCTTGTGTTAGCCACGGACCCCATTTCAGGATTTTAACCAAAAACCCATAAAAAAAACATTGCCTTTGAGGATCAGGGATCTGGAAGGGCTCAAATGTTAACTCCAGGTTTTAGGAATTCCTGCAGCACTCTATCTGGAAAGTTGAGGGATAGGCAAAGTGATCACAATTTACCCTAAGTGGAAGTTTCAGTCCTTCCAATATGCTAGTTGTCATGATGTTTTACTCAAAACCACTTATGTCAACCACATGGTTGATCTACAGGAAATGTCAGGGTATCACTAAAAGTCAATAGGATTAATTCCCGGGGGACCATGAATGTCTCAACAAAATTTCCATCCATCCTGTAGTTTTTGAGATATTTCAATGGCACATTGCCGCCCCTAGAGCCAAGCTGCTAGCACGACTAAAAATAGAAATGACCAGCTCGCTGACAGTCTCAACAAAAGCTAAATAATGTAAGCCTCACAATGAAACTATATGTTTTCAGTCTGTTGTATTGGATCTTGTAAGGGGGTATTTTAACCCCCCCCCATTTTAACAAAACAAGGAGGAAAAGGTGATTTTAATGATGACATTGATTCTACTAGCCGTTCTCCTCAGGCAGGTCGTTCTGACCCTCGGGGCCCTGACAGATGAGGCGCTGTCACTCCTCGTCTCTCTGGGACAGCCACAGGGCCCCTGTCAGGTGATCTCAGGCTATGTGAGTGCTCACACAGCCTTCAAAGCTCTATAACATAGCAAGCACCCAGGCCATGAAGGGCTTTTAAGGCAGTCAGTTCTGGAAATTACAGGCAGCCTGTGTGAGGCATCCTACGTCTTGAGAAAAGTCTGGATCTGGTTTGTCAGATTCATGTCAGCCACAATCTGCTTTAGCCCTCAAAGTACATCAGAGGACGACAGCTGTTCAGGGACACACATCACATCAAACACCAGCACTCCCTCCCACTGAGCCATTTAGTGCCCACTTTTTCAAGGGTTTTAGGAACAGAGAGCCGAGAGCATCGATATTCTTCACCACAGTGTCCGACTGCTGGCCACTGGGAGCTGCCCAGTATAATGACAGTCATTACTGGTGACCACTGGAGATCTTCACTAGAGCAGCTGGAGGATAAGAGCTTCCACTGGCTGCAGTACAAAAACATTTACATAAAGGATAGCAATCACATGCAAATAATAACTAGTAAGTCTTTGGATCTTTATATACATAAACACATAACGCCAACTGCAAATAAAAAAAGAGCATTTTTATTGAAATGTAAAACATTTTATTTAAAAATATCCCAGATGTAAAACTCTTAGATTTTGATTAAATATTGTACTATTTTTAAACCTCTTTCTCTCGCATACTAAAAAATAATAAACCATAACGACCACAAAACCACTCAGTAATGAGTACATTAACTTCCTGAATTCACACAGAAAATCTGACTTTAAATCAACCCAACAGGGTTCCCCCGTCTTTTATTTGCAAATCTTTTGGGGGTTTTCTTACATTACATAAGAAATGGTTTTTTTTTTTACTTTTTAGGTGCCTTTTATTGCCTCAGTGAATTACACAACTAAGTTTTACAAAGTAAAGTTAGTACAGTATATTTCTATTGTAAGTTGGGGGACAGATTAAGAATTGTCAAAATCAAAGCAATGGAGGAGGAGTTATCCTGACTTTGAAGGCCCCTTTACACTGTGCAGTCTCATATGACAGACGACAACTGTGAGAGCAACGTGGTGAAATCCTCCTTCGTTGAGCTTACGATGATGGAAGACTTCTAAGACCAAAGACAGCTTGTATCAAAATCCACAAGAAATGTAGGACCTACAACCGCTACAACCTCCTTTACAGGCTAACCATCCTGAATGTGATATATAATGACGCAGGATCCACTGGTGTAATCCTCCTTTACCTCCAACTCACTTCATTTCATATTCTATTCACAGAAGTGCCAGCACTGAGACCAGCACAGATGGAGTTGGTGACATTTCCTGACATGATGACAGTTTTTACATCCTAAAGCTACGATTCATCAGGCTTTAATCACACCTTACAACATGCTCAAACTTGATTTCATACAGTCTGACACAGATGGCGCCCAAGACTTCATCAAACCCACCTCGCACAATGTGACAAGTGATGAACAAACATTGTTGTCGGCACAGTGTATAGGCGCCTTTAGTCTTTTAGACCCCACTCCCCAGCTTTGTAACGCAGCTTTCTGTTCTACATTTTTATTCTGTAAACTGAGATTAACCCTGATAACATCACTATGACGTCATTTGGGGTTTGTTTTCTTTGACTTGACAAAAGACGAAGAAAATATGTATAATATCTCCTGTGGCTCTGGACTCCTCCTCCAGAGCCACAGGAGATATTATACATATCTTCTTAGGCTGTGTAGTCCTTCCCATAACTAGTGAACTACTGTAATGTTAATGTGTAAAATCAGTGGAGTGCCCCTTTAAGAAACTGGCAATGTTTTAGGAAATGATGAAGTATAGGTATCTTTGTAGTTTCTGAGGCACTTCCTTATTTCTCTGTAAGATCTGTCCCAACTTTTACCTGAAAACAGACTTACATGTCAGATTTTCTGCTACTGCATGAATACAGCGCTCAAAGGACCAGTGTGAAGGATTTAGTTGCCTTTAAAGCGTGTAGGAGAAAATATGGCGGCTGCGAAACCCGTACCTATCTAGAGCCAGTGTTTGTCCGTTTTGGGGTTCCTGTAGAAACATGGCAGTTCAACATGGCAGCCTTTGTAAAAGAGGAAGAGGGAGCCTCTGTAGATAAAAACGTCTCATTCTAAGGTAACAAAAACACAACTATTCTTTTTTCAGGTGATTATAAACTGATAAAAACGTACATATTATATTCCATTTCTGCCAGTAGATTCCTAAATGTTACACACCGGACCTTTAAGTGCAAACATGTAAACAAACATCCCCTGACAGCTGGTGGGCTGTGTACATCAGTGGTTCTCAACCTTTTGTTCTGGCCACACAACCAGCTCAGCCTCTTCCTTCATTTGTTCTAGTGGACAATGACACTGATGCTGTCGTGTTTAAAGGTGCTGACGTGTTAAAATCAACACGTCACTTTCACCCACTTTTAGTTTTTTCCTTTAAAAAAAAACAGTCAGATCTGTCTTTTTGTAAATCATGTTGAACTCATAATATCACACAGTAAAAGAAGTGAATGGCTGGTGGTTGAGAAGAGGCTGCTTTGAAAACATAAAGGTCACAAGTTTGATTCCCAGAAAAGATAAGGTGTATCCATCAACTGCTGTGCATTCTGCTGAAGAGTCCTTGAGCCCAACACCGAGCTCCTATCTGCTCACTGTAGGTCACCCTGGATAAGAGAGCATGAAGTGCTCTTACTGTAATTGCTTCATGATTATCTTTGTCCGTACTGTGAACCTCCACTGAGGCACAGTGACACACCACAGTCTGAGGGCCCTCATCACAAACCCTGGCAAAAAGAATGATGTAAACACAAAAAATACTTGAGAATACAACACCGAATAATGAGTAACTATAAGATGAAGAGGAAGTGGGGTGCAAAGGTTTTTTTTTTAGACACTTATAAAGGTGAACTCTTTTGCTAGTACTGTAACTGTCACTATGAGCGAGGACGGCTGAAGGAACAAAAGCTAGAACTGCATTGTAGCAACTGAGAATGTGAATTTGTGTTGCAATCAATATTGGATCAGAAAACTATGGCTACATTCACACTGCAAGCTTTAGCGCTAAATTCTGATTTATAGCTCAGATCACATTTGTTTGGCTGTTCATATTAATGTTTAAACGTGTCCCATATCAGATTCCAGTGTAAACAGGCCACTTCCCCATTAATTCTAGCCAGTTTTGTTCTCTTTTTTTGCCTTAATCAATCACTTAAGACATATCTGTCCCATCTGCTGTGATTGCATGGAGCAGTAACCTAATGTTAGTCATGTTAAGAGTTACGTTTGTAAATCAGCTTACAACAACCTGTACAGCTGCATCAGTCTCATCTCATTATGTCCCTCTTTTTCTGGCTCTGGCACAACGAGATGAGGTTTCCGGTCTAAATCCTACCTACATACATTTCATTGGCTCACAGCTTGCTGTGGAGATCTTCTTTACAAACGTGGCCAAAAAAAAACAAACACTTCATGCAGGTTTGAGTGTGTACAAAGAGTGAGAACCAGTAATGTAACTGTCAGGGTGTCCTAGCGTCTATGTGGCCCACAACAATTATTGCAAGTTTAACCTGCCGTACCAATGCGAATATGTCAGACCCGTTCTTAACCTTTCGCAGCATGAAACTGTGACATATTCACAAAGTCTTTTCCTAATCTTCTACAAAAGGATTATTATTATTAAATAAGTACCACAAGATATGTCAGCTAGTGTCTGCGTCCCCCTCTGCCTCGCCCCCTGCCTCTCCCTCGTCGAGAGGGGGAAGACTTGTCTGTTTCCTTTGTGGCATCGACCTCCACATCCAGCTCGCTCTCAGTCACAAGAATCGCATCTTCTGGAAGTTCAGGGACGACCTCTTCCGCCTCCTCTGTGTATTTCCTCTCCCCCTCTTCCACCTCTTTTGTTGCAGCTTCCTCTGTGGTCTCTAGCTGCTCTTCTACCACCACCTCCGCCTCCTCCTCCTCCTGCTTCACTGCAGCACCATTCTTTAAGGTAACAGTAATGCTGTTGTTACTGGTGGCTATGGCCTGCTCCAGTCTGATGCGATACTGCTCAGCCTCTTGTTCCTTCTGCAGGAGCTGCTGTTGGTACTTTTGGGCTTTGAGTGTGGCTTCCTGCAGCTGCTGCTCTAGCTGCTCGCGACTTTCTTTAACCTTCTGGAAATAAAACAAACAGATTAGAGGTTAAAGCATCAAATGAAATGTTGTTTTTAGAAGATTTTGGTGTATAAAGTTACCCTTTAAATAAGTCGTAAGTACTCCTGACTTACCTTGTCTCTTCGACTGATGTGATAGGCTGTGGAGTCTGTCTTCCTCTTGCGTGTGGGCGTGGCCTGCTCCTCAACCACCACCTCCTCTGTGATTGCGCTGGCTGGCAATGCCACCACTGCAACCGCAAAACAGAAGAGTGTCTGAGACGGTGTGTGTGTGTGTGTGTGTGTGTGTGTGTGTGTGTGTGTGTGTGTGTGTGTGTGTGTGTATACTAGCACATCTATTAGATCTATTTTATATTTTAAAAATGTCATTGTGTGGTCCCCGTCTGTGATTGGCCACCCATCCTCCTCCCTGGCTGCCACCACAACCCATGTAATTGGAAAAGCACCCAGTCCAGTTTGTCACCGCTTTTTGTTTTATTGCATTAGATGTGTGAGTAAAACTACATCTTTGTAAACTGTGTTTCTAAGGCACTTTCTTTTTATTTTCCATCTTTCATTGTTTTAGTCCAATAAACCTCTGAGTTAGGAGTCCTCTATTGCTATATTTCTGTCTCTGACAACCCACAGGCCCTTTTCCCTTTGTACTTAAATATACGTTTGTCAACTACCTCTTCTTACAACAAATGACTGGATTTATGTTGCATATTTTTTCCCCCAAGAGATCCGAATTCTTGTATTTGTCATATTTAGTCATTATTTCTGCATGAACAATCCTCCACTAATAGTCAAATAGTCTCCAGACACTGATTTTCACACATCTGTTTAGTATCTTCTTCCATCACATGAAAACCCCATTTAATAAGCAGCTTTTTGCCACTCACAGTAATACGTATTCAGGATTTGTTCGAGGGTTTTACATAAGTCACGTTTGAATTCAGGAAGCAACTAACCTGCAATGTCATCTTGAGGTTGTCTGAACTAGTTACAGCGGGTATAACTGTGAGACTCCCTGTGTCATTTCAGTGCCTCTGTTTTGCTTGAATGCTCCACAGCGTCTCTGTACAATAAATGTAATAATCTAACTGACTGATTGCCAACGTATGTTTTGATTTTATTTTTGGTATATTTCTGCCTTCTTTTTTTTTTTTTTTTGAAACTATCAGCAATTATGACGTCAGTGCATCCCTATTCTCAGTTAGGTCCGGATCAGAACTGGAGAGCCCACTGAGCCCACTCACTCTGCTGCCCCTGCAGGGTGAAGATGAACTGCTGGCCCATGGCGGCTGGCTGCAGGTTGCCGTGTTGGTCCGTCACTATGGTAATGACCCTCTGTCCGCCGTCGCCCACCACATGCTGTAGGGTTGTGTCCTCCTCTGACTTGCCTGAAGATAACAGTTGGCTTGTATTGTTAGATAACAGCCGCTACCAAGAACAGACATTATGCTGCTGTACAAAAATGAACCAGGACCAGAATGTTACACAATCACATATAAAGAAAAGTTTGACATGTTTGATATTTCCTGACACTCTTTGTTGAGAAACAGGGAAGGATGAAATGAAAGCAGTGAATGGGTGGATGAATTTGGTTTATCTTAATTGTTGTTCTATAATTGTCTGCTATTTTTGTTTCTGTTCTAGATCACACCAGTCCAGGTGTTTCTTGTTTGCTGTCAGATATGATTATACGTCTCTTGGGATAACACAGTAAGTCCCCTGAGGTTTCTTAATTCCCACCTGCACACATTTAAATTCCATCTGCTGTTTATTCATCATTTCTGTCACTTCATTTCTACACCTAAACACAACTGAAGGATGCATGTGTGTGCTGCCTACCTGCAGCGGTCTTGGTGATCAGCTCTGAGAGGTTGACCAGCCCACCAGCAGGGATTATGTAGTGGGACTCGGGGTTGATGTTTACCTGGTTCTGCATGCCGTCCTGCACACACAGAGAAGGAGCTGTGGTTATACTGGATTCTGTTGCAGTTAATGATAATTTACAAACTGATCTGTTACATAAGAGGGTGAAAACATTTCAAATGAAATCATATTTAATTCCATTCATGAGATAGAAAGTGTGGAAAATTCTGCACCAACCCAAAACAGTCAAATTGACCTAAACCTGCAATAACAGATTTTCTGTGGCTGCTTTGCTGGGCAGTGGAAGCGCGCTGTACACAGAACACTGACATACTGGATTTATTGAAAGAGTAGCCCCATGAGACGTAGCATCTCACTTTCAAAGGGGTACTGTACACACAAATACAAATCAAACGCACACAAACAAAAACAGCATTACATAACAAACATGCACTGCAAATACACAGACAGCTCGCTCTCGCCCTCCCACCCACACACATTATCACCTTTCAAGTTGATATTGCAAACTTGTTAGCAAATAATTGCTTCTATACACTCCAGCAGTAATGGAGTTATGTGTTTGTGTCTTTTAGCTCTGTGTTGCTCTCCAACAACTCTTGGGAAACATATCTGGGTCTTAAGCAGTTAAATTCTCCACTATGTTCACCAGCTAGTTGCTAACTTTGTCTGTCATTTGGTGCTGGGCAGGTAATGTACAGTGGGTCTTTACAGCTTCCACTGACTACAGCTGCCTGTTATGAAGCTGTGAAGGTGAGAGAGAACCAGAACACTAAAACAAAAAACAATGAGCTGAAAGACACTAAAATGTTGGTATTGATGGCGACAATTACATGTGGGTTCATCACTATGAGTGACCCCTTTCATATTACGTGACTAATATGATCTATTGTTAATATAAGAATATTATTTATAGCCACTTCAAAATCTCCTGTAACTGCTAAATCTATCTGTTATTTTGTATATTATGCACCTCTTGGTCACCAGTCTTCATAAAGAAATTTTGAATTTAAGAAAAACCCAAATCTAACATTTACATGCCCTTTTGAGGGAGAAAGTGGTATATAATAATAATAGTTCTGATCTCTTATTACATTTTAGATGAATGTGTAATCCAATTAAAAAAATGACAGGCATAAAATGAAACACTTTGATGTATAAAACAGGACCCTGCCAATTGTTTCCATTTTTTATCTCTCTAAAACTAAGATAAAAGGTTTACACACACGATAACAGAACATTCATCTAGCATTAGTGCCTTTCGTTGACATCGCTCAAACAGAGAAGATAGCATCAGTATTCTGTAATTAGGAATGACACTTTCAGCCACTACACTCATTCTATTAGAAAGAGTCAGATAAACAGTTTTTGCCCCGAGGAATTGCAGGTGGAAACTGATCTGTGCTGCTGAAAGTGAGAAATCATTTTGGGAGTAATTTCACTGATGGTTTGACATTCTCTTTGTTAAAACTGCCCCGCTTTCCGACCAAAAGCAATCACGCGGTTAATGGTGGATAGAATATGATGGCCGCAAGAGCTGTAGGTTGACGGTTCAAAACAAATAGTTTGCTTCATTGTTTATCCACTGATTATTCGTTTTCATTGCAGTTTAGCATCTCGTAGGGTCGGCAGTGATTTCTTTTGAAGGAGACTTTTTATCTGCACAGACTTAATAAGAGAGGAGAATGAGAAACGATGTCATTATTTTTGGTTTTATGTGCGTCTCAACCTACAGTTAAATTTTTTTTCTTGGCAGTTAAAGTGTTTCGCTTCTTCAGAACACAGCAGTAAGTTTACTTTACATAATAAACACATATCATGATGCATTTATGGTGATTCAGCCCCTTCAGACACTGTCCTCAGGGGAGCGTTTCACACTCACGGCCGAGGTGGGTGTTTATGTTTCATAAACACGTGTCGGTGCCCTCCTGAATGCAGCCATCCTGCACGGGTCAACCAGCTGCTTTTGCTCGAGGCCCTACTATCTGTATCCTGGCTAGTTGAAGAGTCATGACCAAGGAGGGGAGTTATCTAACGCTAACCAGAACCTCCTACGTACCACCTGAAGGCCCACACACACCTCTGTTATATAAGGCCTTTGTAGGAGAGCTTGTGGGCCTTTCCTAATCAAATTTTTCCAAATACTGTGTCTGATAATTTAACATAATCCTTAACCACAGTTCTGTTATTTCAATTATTAGTGTAGCTTCCTCATGTTTTCAAAGAGGAGGTCTAATCCGATCTTGCGTGAAATGGTGTCTAAATGCGGGTGTTATGGTAAGAACTGTTTGCAACATGGCTGTCTGACAGAGAGAGGCTGCACGGCCACTGAAACCATAGCAACGCCGGCGAGAGTCCGACCGACGCTTCGCGAGTCGCACTTGGAAAACATCAAACGTATTTTTTGAAATCACAGGGGCACTGTGCAAACATGTCTGCGCCTGCAGTCTCACACTTCTTCTTATTCTCTTTTCACTTTTCCTCCTCCTCTTTCCGTCTTTTGGTTAATCTCCTCGGCTCCCCCATTTCTCTTCTTCTCCCCCCCTCCTTTCTGTTTTCGCTCTCCCCCTAATCTCTGTCCATCTTTCTCCCTCCCTCCCTGCCTCTCTCACAAGCCTCTCATTCATCCATCTATGTCTCCTTGTCTTCCCTGCCTTCATCTATCTGTCCATCGCTCTCGCCGTTTCTCCTCCCCGTCTTCATTATTACCTGAAATGTGCTTGGTCATTTTCTGTCTTTTCCTAATGTCTCCTGTTCTCTTATCTTGTTTTATAACCTTGCACCAAAGTGTACAACAGTGATGGCCCGCCTCGTCTCTGCTTTTCTGTCCTCCTTCCTGCATGCCTCACCTGTCTTTCCCTATATCACTTGTCTGTCCTTATATCTATTTCTCTCCCCCGTCATCAGTTTCTCTTCCCTTTTTTCATATCCAACCCCTCATCATCTTCATCATGTCTCTCGTTCTCTTTCCTCTCTCCCATTGACTCTAACTCCTCAAATCTCATTCAATGTCTTTGCCCCGTTCCTGTATGTCTGTCGGTCTCTCTGTCTGTCCCCATCCCCAGCACCCCCTTCATCCACCTGTAGCAGTATCATCAGCTCAGTGTTGCTGGTATCCATGGCGATGTCGAAGGGCGTCTTGTCGAACTTGCTGAGGCAGTGGACGTCGGCTCCGTACCTCAGCAGGAGCTCGGCCACCTCCCTGTGGCCGTGCTGAGCCGCCCAGTGCAGCGCTGTCATCTTCAGCATGTCTTTGGCGTTGATTTCGGCGCCGTTCTGCACAGATTCACGGTGCCCCCCGGTGGCGAGGAAAGGTAACAAACACAAAAGAGAGGGAGACAAAAGGGGAAGTGATGAGAGAAGATGTCTGTGACTAGGCACGTCTGAAAGGTAAAGTAAGGTGAGGTGGAGTGCACACAATCTGATAAACAGTGTAACATTATTATTATTTAAAACACACGTTGAAACGTCAGTCGAGCTTTAAATGTTTTTGTATCTCCAAACAAAGTATAGAAAATTATTTGATGGCTTTTTGGTGCACATGGAAACAATTTCAACACTAAACCTAAGGCCATCTGTAACACATTTACATTGTAGAGGCACAATCTTGCATCATACACTGTATAGCCAAAAGTATATGGACACATGAACATGGCTGTGTTTCATTGTTTTGGTTACTTCTAATTTAGGACATTCTTAATGCAACAACATGCTGTCATATTTAGACCATAGTGTGTTTCCAAATTTATAGCAACAGTTTGTGTTTAGCCATTTCCTGTTTTAACACGACAATGCCTCCAAGATATTTTTTTTTTTTTTTTTTTTTTTATTATATTATTTATTTTTTTTCTTTAAATTTTTTTAAATTTTTTTGTTTTGTCTACCAATTCGTTTTAAAGTTGAGAATTAATTTTTTTTTTTTCTTCCGCCGGGTTAAATATTTTTATTTTTTTTTTAATTTTTTTTTTTTGTTAAATTATATAATTCCTTTTTTTCTTTTTTTATTCCCGGTTCCCCCCTTCTCGTTTATTTTTATATGTTTTGGGGGTAGGTGGGGTTGGGGTTTTTTTTTTTTTTCTTTTCTTTTTTTTCTTATTAGTAGGAGGGGGGGGGGGTGTTGGGTTGATCATGTTTTTTTTTTATGCCCCCTAGTTTTTTTTTTTATTTTTCCTCCTTTATTGGGGTTGTTTTTTGGTGTTTTTTTTATTTTTGTGTTTTTTTTTTTGTTTTTTTTTTTTTTTTTTTTTATTTTAATTATTTTTTTTTTTCATTTCAAAAAAAAAAGATATTTTAAAATATTTCCCCCCCCCTACCCCCAACACAAAGCAGATGTGTGTGGAAGAACGTGACTGGTCTGCACAGAGCTCTGACCACAACCCAATCACCCAACACCTTCGGGATGAACCAGAATGAGCCAGAACTTTTCCCCCAACATCATCGTTGGACCTCACTAATGCTCCTGTGGCTGAATGGGAGCAAATCCCTGCAGCCAGGTTCCAAAAGTCAGGAGAAAGGTCAACAATCATATGGGTGTAATGTTCGAGTGTCCACATACTTTTGCCCAGGACCTTCTTACCTACTATATACTATAATAACTAGAATATTAATACAGTAAATCTGAGAAGACAACTGCAAAACCTCACTTATATTCATATTTAATTACTGCACTGTCAAAATACAATACCACAGACAGATATCGCTCCTCACCCGCACTAACAGGTCCACTATGATGGAGTGACCCTCTGAGGCGGCCATGTGAAGAGGGGTCTTGTCCACCTTGGTTCGGGCATCCCTGCTGACGCCGGCACGCAGCAGCACCTCAGCGGTTGAGTGATGGCCGTACTGGGCTGCGAGATGCAGCGGCGACGAGCCCAGCTGGAGGAAAAAGAGGAGAGAGAGAGAATAAAGTATGTAGAAAAGCAGCTGGAGGTGATGACTTAAAAGTCCACTTAACATGAAGTGCCAAGGTTTGCATTCGCACAGCTGCGCACCGTCACATCTGGGTCCTGCTGAGTTACTGAGATAATGTTCAGGGGAAACTCGGTAGCAGTCATTATGGTTTCTGCAGGTGTCTTTTTTTTGTTGGCATTTCTGCTTTATTTTGAAGTGATAGCTGGAGAGAGACAGGAAAGGCAGGGTAGAAAGAGAGGGGATGACATGCAGCAAATGGCCCAGGCTTGAATTGGCTGCAGTGGTAAGGACTCAGCCTTCATACATGGTACGCGCTCTACTAGGTGAGCTACTGGGCGGCTCCTTTATGAAGGTTTCAACAGAGTAAATTTAAGACGTTTTAAAGACCATTATGGATGCAATTTAAGACACATTTCACGTCCATACTGGCAAAAAAGTATGAAAGGATATAAAGGAAAATCTCTATTGATTGCATGTTGGTTTCATTTAGTTGTTGTTACAGCATGATCAATACATTTTTTTCTCAAAACACATTTTAAAGCAAGACTGAAACATTCTTAAGACCTGTCAAATCATATTAAGACATTCAGATTATTGGATTTTAGACTTTTTAAGACTGAGCTGAATCATCGAAGAAGGATAATGTAAATCGTCAGAAGGTCAGAAGGTAAAATCTCTCTGACTTCCACACTAATTTCTCTGACTTTTAGGATACTGAGGACTTGATCCTAGCTGAAGGGCATTAAAAGAGTCCAGGGATTTAGCACCGCATTTCATTAAAGTTGGGGAACTCTCGAGAGACACCTTAAAAACAGAATGTTTAAAATAAATACAGCAGAGGGACGGATAGCCTGTCATTTAGTCCCTTGTATGGGTCAAGCTCACTTCCCATTAATGCCTGTTAAATGCCCACATCTTTCCAATTCCACACCCCCAGTTTGTTGAACACAGTCTTTCTGTTAAAAAATCTGTACTTTAAACACAATCCAAGATAATTCCCTTGATGTAATTTGAGTAATTTTCTCACAGTGAAGTTCCTCTAGAGCCACAAATTATGCAACATGAGTAGTACTCCTCATGATGTTACATAACTTTAATGAATATAGTGACTAAAACGTAAGTAACACACACACACACACACACACACACACACACACACACACACACACACACACACACCTCTGGCTCTCACTCTTCTCTAATGTAGTGCTCACGACTTACCGTTAACACAACCTACCAGCTGAGAATTTTTTTTTTTTTCTGTGTAATTACAACCGCTGTAGGAGTTTGTCAAAGGCTTGAAAGTCTCCCCTCTGCATCATACACTGCGGCACACAAGACAGCTAATCCACCAGCGTTGACACTCCGAGGTAATGGAAATCTAAATTATCATCAGTTATATTCACACAGTCAGCTTTACTTAGGAAAAGAGTGACAGATTCATTTCATTAATGGATGAATTTGCAAGTCATACATATAAATGATATGGGATGTTGTCGTTTTAAAAAATGTAATAGGTGAATGCTTATATTTCTCCCCTTACTTTAAAACATCATATGAACGTGACAAGAATCCATTCATTCACGTGGCCTCCACTGCACCCATTCTTCTACGTACATTTCTAAAATGTGACACGCTGTCTCAGACAGAACTCCACTTTAAATATGATGAATTTTGACACCCTGCAATCCTTTCTTGTGTAGTAGATAAAGGTGGCATTAAGGAAGAGAAAATTAAATAAAACTGCATTAGTGGCTTACACAGTGCCTGTGAGCAGTAAATTATAAATGAATGTTATAAATAGATATGATAATAAGAGTCAGAGGAAATGCCTGTGGATTCTTTTATGTAGGCTTGAATGCTTTTTAAAAAATCTAAATTATTTAAGACTTCTTTTTCATTATTGTAATGAGTATATAGAGACAATAATTAATGATACAAAGACATTAAATGTTCTATACTTGTAGGAAAAGTTCATGTAAGTACTGTACATTATGGTGTAATGGAGGTTTATCAAAACTGATTATGTGGTGCAGCTACTGGTATCCTTTTGTGATTGAAACTGTGTAAAATATGGATAATGATGGAGCTGAAATAATACGTTCATTAATAGATTAGTCAGTCGACATAAAAACAGTAAGTAACTATGTTGTTAAGCGATCAATTATTAATCACGTTATTGATTTTTCAGCTTCCCAGTTGTCTCATTTGACCGTAAACTGAATATATTAAAATTGAGAGGACATTTTTTCCCTGTTGTCTGACATTTTGTAGGATTAATAGGTTAACCAAGAGATAACAACGATTAATGGATAATTAGTTTCAGCTCTAGACTACAGTTCAATAGGTTTCACTGACAAGTTGTCATATAGTATGCAACGTTTATGCAAATTTGTAAAGCCTTGCACACCTATGGCACTGCAACTGATCATTTTCATTGTACAGCAACCTTGTTGGTCGGCACCTACGGTAAAGCCATAAATCTGTTTATTTTCCTTCAGTAAGAGTCTGCTAAATGTCTCGTTTACTTTGTCTTTTGAGCTCGATATGAGCCCTCAGCATTACTGTCGCACTGCCACTACATGGCGACAAAGTCCAAACACAATAACAGCTGACAATCCCTGTTTCTTGGCAGCAGATGAGCGTTAACACTCATCTTATTCCGGATTAGCCTGAAGATTATTCCACAATTAACCCCCCATCAGCCTCACCCAGTCTGTGGTGAACGGAGCTCCATTGGCCATCAGAGCTTTGACATCATCATCCTGTCCAGTTCGTGCGGCCTCCAGCAGCTGCTGCCCGAGATACATCAGTGACATCTGCTGGCGGGCAGGAGAAACACTGTGATGAGACGTTAGAGAGCCAAAGAGAGACATCTGAACTGAGCACAAGCTGATGTTACTGTGGGCATTGTTTCTTTTGTGTATATACAGTTTTTCTTATAGCAAATCAAATCATAATCTTGACAAACCAATAACTTCCTTTAGTTTAATAGGAAAACTTTCAATGGCGGACTTTTTTACTATAGTGCTGAGATGACGGACAGGAAATTAATCAACACGTTTGATAACCTGTAAAATATTTATTAAGGAAAAATGCCAAACTTGTTTCAGTTTCCTGTGTGAGTAAGTGTGGGCTCTATGAAAACATTTGTATGTACTTTAAGAATTAAAAGTAAAATAACTGACTATGAACAAAAGTAGTTCCTGTCAGAGACTATTATCTATATATTACTTTATATTTACTATTATTATTAGTGATGCATTAATGTGAACCAGCGCTTTATGTTGCAGGAACAGTAAAAAAATGCAATATATTTTATAAGATCATCACATTTTAAATAAAGTGACAACTAACTGCAGCTGTTTAATGACATGGAAAATTAAAATATTGATATTTATAAAGCAGCACAAAATGGAAAGTACATCTACTTTCAAAATAAATGTTACATTACTCCATTGCACACATGTTTCAGTGTTGTTTAGTGTAATGTGTGAGTAATTACAGTGTTAGCAGGGAAATAATAAGCATTTAAATAAAGAATAGCGAAACTGAACTTTAAAATCATCATTTAAACTTGACTTGGAGTAATTTTGGACCATACACAACAATATAATATAATAATGAGAGGAACTATGACAGACTCATCCATCAACTCTTTGCAAAACATCAATTTTAGATTATTTATTTTTTAACACCGAAATGAAAACCTGACTGCGTTTACATCGCTTATCGAAAACAATACGAGCCCCCACTCCCCGAAAAAGAAAAATAACACAACTCGACGAAACAAGAAGAGGTTGCACGTTGCGTGATTTAAAAATATTAAATAAATATAGTTTTATAGGTTTGTTCCGGTGGAAGTTGCTGCTAGCAAATGAGCTATTTCCACATCCGCTACTCAACCCAGACACCGCGGAAGAGGACGGCTCGGCTCGGATATAAAATGACTAATAAACAACAACCAACAGGCTGTTAAACATTAAACTATTCTTGCCTGAACATCTCCGCACTTGTAGTCACAGCCTATAATCTCTGAACTGACAATAAGAGAGCTAACTTGTGACTGTTAGCTCATATTACTAACGTTGTTTGTATAATTTTATATTTTTATCGTGGTGTATACTTGCCTCAAAAAACGACGATGTCGGAGGACTATCTGCTAATTGCGCTGATTTCTTATGTGCGTTAGTTGATTGTTACACTTTCGTAACTTCTTCGCGAAAACAAAATATCATTTGTTTTTATTATTTTGGGGGGGATCAAAAATGGCGGCGACGTGAAGCTGAGGCAGCTTGACACAGAGAGGGCTCCGTTTGGAGCTTTCAAAATAAAATATACACGGAACGCGTTTGAGAAATGTGTGAGAAATCCAGTTGGTATATACAGAACATATTCACTACACGTGTATCACAGGATACACTTTAATAGTATTAGAAATATCGTGTGGTCACGGTATCGTTTTCAAAGGGGTAATAATGTCTGACGCTTTTATTTTGAAGGTACAATCCGGTTACAGCTTTGTTGTCTTTAGTGGACTTACAGAAGACAGCAGAAGAAATTGTCCATGCAGAGTTGTTCATCTAATCATAACACTTTGGAAAATGTATATTTTCCTTAGAAAACTTTTTTTTTATTCCAATGAGGAAATGTAAGAACTTTTTTACTTTAACAGAAGGAGGCCAGTAGAGGACTTATTACTCTGTACTGTCTTTAGTACACTCATAGGCATAGGTATGAATAGGTTTTGCTCTCATCATAATTCTCAAAACTAAATTAATATTAGCTTTATTTTATCGTTTTTCAAAAAATCACAACACAAAACAGATTATTAAAGTAACAAAGTTAATGCTGTAATTAAAAACAATTAATTACATACATTATAACATTTTAAAAGCCAAAACAAGATACACTTATGATAAACAACATATTAATAAATATTTGGATACAGGTTGATGAAAATTCAAGGAACTCCTTACAGTCAGTGTATAACTGAGATAATAACTCAATAACTGAGAGTGAGTTAATGTACAGGAAGTTCCACGAAAACCACTGGGGATTGTTAAACAGCTTACATTACTTATTAATGATTCAACACACAATACAGTCTGAGAATTACTTTATACTGTGGTGATGTGCTTTCGTAAGCTCCAGAAGCTATTTTCATTCTTCATTTTGCTCTCTTAAATGTCTGTTTCCCATGCCAATAGAGCCTATTTGAATAGAAAAAAATGACATTAAGTCTGTTGATGTGATATCTGCCTTGCAGGTACATAACAAACAGAACGAAAGGAAATAATTCAAGATGCATTACTGACTGACCGTGGGGGCCCTGATCAGACTCTTGTCTCTGTTTTGCTCTATTTTATACCTGTACTGTGCAATTATTTACAAATTCTTATACACACATTCTTAAAATTATATAATACATGTACTGTATATTAATAGCCCTATATGTACAGCCTATAATACCTTTAAATTACACTGCTATACATATATTTTGTCCTGTGCAATTATATTTATTTCCACAGCGTGCCACTACCACTGTTCACTCACATTTGTTTATAAAAAGTTGTATATTTATAACTCTTATATTTTTATTTCTATCATATATTTTTTCTATTGTATTCTTATTTAATGTGTTTTTTTTAAATATAATCTATCGTTAAATAAATAAATCCTTTTTTTTTTTTTTTTTAAATCTTATCTTACTACATTTCCCACAAACCTACGCGGCACGTATTGGGAGCTTACGTTACGTGCGCTCCCAGCTTCCGGTTGAAGTGTAAATGGATACATGACACAGTTGTTTGGAGGAAAGCTATCCGTTTGGAAAACCGTTAACGTCCACGGAACCACCGACGTGGGGGGTTTTTTTTTTTTTCCCCCGACATCCTAACGGCTGACAGTCCCCCTCTGAAAGCCGGCCGCGATGGAGGCGGTCCCCCGGATGCCGATGATCTGGCTGGATCTAAAGGAGGCTGGGGAGTTCCAGTTCAGCCCGGCCGTCAGGCAGGTGAGCCGGGGCGGGGAGCGGAGCAACAGGGGCTGAGGTCGAAAGTCAACCGGGGCGAGGATTACCCACTTTTAAAGCCACGGTTCAAACCAACCGTTAGCTCCAAAACCCGACTGTCGGGAAAAGGAGAATTTTCCAGAACTGGTAGCTGTGGTCCAATCCCCCCCCCCCTCTCTCTCTCCGGACCACCGCCTTTTGTTTGCTAACGTTAGCCGCATGCTAGCTGGTAAAAAGCTAACAGCTCATGTCGAAGTTCATTAAAAAAAATAAAGCAAACAGTCGACCGACGTTAAAGGCAGAGGTCTTTTAAGGGTGCTTCCTCCGGGCCCAGACACACTGTCGACACGTTAAATGATAAAACCGTGATCTCATCGTCACATGTACCTGAACACAGGCTGCTCACTAATGTATTAGGGATGTCAGCCAAAAGGGAAGGAGACAGGGCAAAACAACAGCACGCCGAGTCATTAAGCATCCTGTGTGTCTTTTTACAGTTAGAGGAAAAAAAGTTAAGAATAAAAATAACACCAGAAATAGCCAGCGCATACAGTAAATGTCATAATGTGAACACAGAAGACGAGAGGAGATATGGATGATGGATGGGAAGACTGAAGAAGAGAGGTGTAGGGTCTGATGTGAGGCCTCTAGTTAGACTTTGTGCCAAATTAAAAAAAAAAAAAAAAAAAAAGCTTTATTTTTATATTATAATGACAGAATAAGCTGGTGCGTGTTAGGTGTGATATTTAAAAAAAAAAAGGGGTTTCACAGTTGGGGTTGTTGTATTTCAACACAAACACACATAATAAGGCACTTTGATATTTACAAGGAAGGAAAATTCCCATCATTCAAGTGCGTCTCGTCTTTATCTGGTGAGCCATTTTTCCAGCACCTTCCTGATTCAGACACAATAACGGACCTTTGGCCTGTCGTGTGACTGTAATTCTCCTCCGAGATATTTTGCAATGGACTTCCCACGTCTAAACCTTGAGTCAAACAATGCTGTGTGAACAGTTGTTGTCTTCTGAGATTCACAGAGCGGTACTATTTCATATGCTTATGTCTTTAAGAGACCCTTTAACCTCAATATTATATATATATATGAATATATAGCCTCTAATACAACCCTTACTGTTGGACATTTTAAAAGCCTGATCTAATGTTGGAACAAGTCAAACTATAATATGTGAGAGTTTAATGTTGTGTTTTTTTTTTTTTATTGGCATACTGTTGTTGCTCAGATTACCATTAAGACTATATTAAATTGGCTACAGTTTCCTCTGTTTTAAGGCTGGACAAAAGGCAGAATTGAACCATAACTGGCTTGTGGAAGACGGGACAATGCCTGCCTGTCTTGTCGCTGTGTCATTGTGCGTCTTTTTCCAGAAGCCCGGTGACTTTCCTGCGTCCATGATTTAATTAGAAAAAGAAACAGAAGCACTAGGAGAATAATGAGTGTGTCTGCAGTATTGTTCACCTCCTGGCCTGACATTAAGTAGCTCGCTGCTTATTACAGTCGCTCACAGGGACTGAGAATGTCTTGGCAAAGCATGATGGGAGTTTAAACTCTTGGCTCTTGCCCGGGGCAAAATATTAGCCTATTGATTAATTAGCTACAGTTTGAGGACATTTGAATGTTTTAAAATGTGATAAATGTGGTTTAAACCAAAGCCATAAATAAAATTACAATTCCAGTCTAGAAGGTTTGAAGCTGATTCAAAAATGTGCCACATTTACCCACTTGTTCTTTCCGTCTCTTCCCTAGTTCATCCTGAAGAATTATGGCGAGAATCCCGACAACTACAATGAACAGATGAAGAAACTGGAGACGCTGCGGCAGGTAGCTACTGTGTGAAACTACCGTCACCATGTTTGACTAGATGTTCCATTTTAATTCGCCAGTTCCCTGATTCCAGGCTCAGTTCATTCCCATGTATGACCACCAAAGTAGAGATATCAAGAGTTATTACAATGCTTTAATTAAGTCTATAAGACTTAATTAAATTATAGTGGTGAGTAAAAACACCGCTCATAGCAGAGAGTCACTTTGCACATATCAGTTGAAGCCCTGTAGAGCAAATGTGATTAAATTGCTGCTTTTGTTTGGAGAGTTGGAGCATCGATTCTGTCAATGTTACAAGGGTCCTGATGTGTCTACAAAAATCTCAAAACACAATATTATATAAGACAAAACATATGCAAACATAAAACAGAGTCAAGAGTGAAACGTATCAAACACACTATAACTATGGGCTTACGGTTAGGCTCGTACTGCTCTGCGTTAATAGTCTCAAACATGAAGATCAAAAGGACAAAGGCGTTATAAGAACTGTGTTTCCATCTCTCCGGTACTTGAGTCAGATTGGTAGGTGAGATGATGTGGAATCCTAAATGTACAGTTTAGAGCCTTCTGCAGGATTTGGTTGAGTCACGCAAACACACCTGTTAGTTCTCCTTTTTGGGACGAAATAAAATCTCTTTCTGTCGTACGTGCAAATTTTGATCTCCAACGCCCTCCCTCCCACCCACCCCGTCCACTGAAGGTGACAGAAGTAGTTGTGAAGCATCCATCAACTACAGAACCCACTCTGGAATATGATGGAGTCGAGGTCATCAATGATGAGAATGTAATCGTGAAAATATCATTTTATTTCCTGGGGGGGAATTCTAATGGAAGACAAGTGGAATACTCAATCTAACCGCTGATGTGTTTTCCACTCAATACTGGTGTCTGTGTGCCAGATTGCACATCCAATCCCTGATCCAATCCCTGATCCAGTCCCTGATCCAATCCCTGATCCAATCCCTGATCCAATCCCTGATCCAATCCCTGATCCGATCCCAGTCGGGGGAAATAAGCTTTTTGCAAACGTCTTCAAGAAAATGATCCTTTCTGAAGGTTAAATGCTAAAACTCATCGCTCTAAACGGAGGTGTGTTTGCAGAAGTGCAGATTCTGTAGCTGCAGTTATAAAGAACAGCTGATCAAACACAAAAGAAACACAGTGTTTGTGTCTGTTTCACAGAGTGCGGTGAATGTGACGAGGGATTTCGAGGGATGCAGCACACTGAGGAAGTACTTTGGCCAGCTGCATTACCTCCAGAGCCGAGTACCCATGGGAACGGGCCAGGAGGCTGCTGTACCCATCTCATGGTAGTAACACACACACACACACACACACACACACACACACACACACACACACACACACACACCGTCCTCCTGCAGTCTGAACTATTGTTGGCCTGGACACTAGAGGTCTGAAGCTAATTTTAGTGT